GTCATCTAAAATAAATTAAATAAATGAAAAGAAAATTGCTCCATGTCAAACTGCCATCAGGTTCGATATTCATGCAAATTCGAGGGTCAGACTGRTGGTTCATAGGTTCTTTTCAATTTTTGTATGGACTCAATTCACTAGTCAAACTGAACCAGTGGCATTTCAGTGGCCCAATTATCGGGTCCAATCCAGTTTGTTAAACATTGATATGTGTATGTGTGTTTTCAAATTTAAGCAAGGATAACCCTTATCCTTAATGAATTCAGCACTAAAGGTCTAGGCTCCCAAGTTTGTATTTGATTTTTTGTTCTTGTTTGAACTACATATTTGATTTTTTTTGTTATTGTTTGAACCACATATGGAATATATATCTAATATATGGGTGAATGCCATCTCTTTAATATAAGCAATCTTATTCTCTTTGAATTTATTTGGCAGTCACAATACAGGCACTACTTTTGGTTAAACAACAGAGAAAGAAAGATCAAGATGAATAATAAGTATATTTTTAGTAAATAAATTAATTTTAATAGTGGATTGGTTTTTCTGAGCTGTCTGAAGGGGAACACATATGGTTAATTCTTTTAAACACAGGCTGCATTCTTTTCACTGTAAAGGGGCTGATTACCAAGATAAAATTGTGAAAAATTTTGTGTTTTTTAATGTAGAAGGTATTGATAATAGATGAAATATTTCAAATAGAAATATTTTCTATCCCTTTTACATTGAAAGGAATGAAGTTATGAGAAATGTTTCATGTCTAATATACTTTTGAGGAAAGTTGGGAAAATCTGGTGATTGCAACAAGCACAGATAAAAAATCAGGCAATTCAACTTCACTAACTTAAGGTCCACATCTCTTAGAGGGACATGTCACCTTCAACTGAAGCATTGGGCCTATGTTAAGATTAAACAAGAACGGATCTTGCTTTTCCAGCATTTCTTGTATAGCTATAATGTATCTTTAGTTCCCAAAGGGTTCTAACTTCATCATATTTTTGTCTTTGAATCTGTGTCTCTTTTTTTAATCTGTGTGCATACTCATACAGAGTGTTATCAAAATATCAACTAGTCATTGACTGGTTGACCAGCTAGTAAGTTGAAAGCCAGACCAAAGGGTTCTAACTTCATCATATATTCATGATGCGGTTTCTTATGATGATTGATGACTAAGAGTTAACTGGGTCGACTAGTCAACCACAAAATTATTTTGAAGCTGTTTATTTTTTTTTTTTTTGTTTCTCTAATTACTTGAAACAATATAGAACTTGTTTGTATTTTGTTATAGTCATGATGTTGCTTTAAATATTTGTGATGGAACATGTTTGGCTGATGGCATATGAAATAGAAAAAGGCATAAAATAAAAGAAGGCAGTAGAGGAGTTCTTTTAAGTTCATCTTCAAGTTCCGATCAATGGTTTGCTGGTATAGAATTGCTACAAACAAAAGGCACATCAAATAATCAAGGTTGCACTCTTTCTTTGGAAAACGAAGGCTATAGCCTATCCAATCTAACTATTTTATCTTTGCAAAACAGCAACTGTAAACTAAATGTTCAATAGCATTTTTTATTGCATAGTTATGATCTATATCAACTTATTTATGAGATTGCATTGATATCTTAGATTTAGACTATATCCTTTTTCATCCATTCTATTGAAAATGCTGGCAGTGGGTTGTTTACTTTTATTTGTTGGCTTGTGCTTGTCATGCTCATGCATGTGTATTTGGTTTATTTGTGTTATTGTGCCAAACTGTATGTGCTGATGTACTGCAGTACCACAAGCATCATGCTTTTGGAATAATTATTCCCTGTGTTAGTGATGTTTTATCTTATTCTTGCAATACTGACTTGCCATTGGGGGTTGCTAAATTGAGACATCATACATGGTCTATCATATAGAACAATTGCTTTCTTTTACACTAATTTCCTCGAAATTAGGCCCTGTTTTAAAAAGGAGAAAAATACTCTTACAGTTTTTTTATGAGAAAAGGCTCTTTTGGGAACCGGGGGAGGAGAAGAGGGATCATAGGGTGAGCTAGGAGGTGGTGTGTAGAAGCAAAAATCTGGGTGGCTTGGGGATTGGGAACATCAGGAAAAGGAACATGGCTCTTTTGGGAAAATGGCTGTGGAGACTACCAATAGAAAAGGAGAGACTATGGGCTAAAATAGTGGTAAGCATACATGGCATGGAGCAAAATGGATGGGATGCCGGAATTCGAGCTAAGACCACAAGTGCGTCACCTTGGAAAGCCTTTCACGATCTGCTTCCAACTTTCTCTCCTCTCATCTGGTATGATTTGAACACAGGCAATTCCATAAAATTCTGGGAACAAATCTGAGTGGGGAATGCCCCTCTTATGGATTTGTTTCCTTCCTTGTATGCCCTTTTTGATTTTAAGAATGAGCCAGTTTCTTCTTTCATTACCTCTTTTGCCTAATCTTCTGGGTTTGGGTGGAATCTGGGCTTGAGAAGGGCTGTGAGAGATACAGACTTGAATGGTATCTCGAACCTCCTTGGTCTCCTTGATAATGTTTTCTTGGACCCTACTAAGCTGGATTCTATAATATGGACCCCCACCCCCTCTGTCTCCTTTTTTTGTGCCTCTTTTTTCAAAGTTCTAAGTCAGCCCCCTAGCCCAATTCCCCCTCCCTTCTCGGTCACTGAGGTTTGGTGCAGACCAATCCCCCCTAGAGTTGGTGGTTTTTGCTGGGAAGCTTTTCTGGAAAGAATCAATACTGGTGACTTGCTCCAAAAGAACAGGCCCAAGACTTGTTTATCCCCTAACTAGTGTGTTCTATGTAAAGCGGATGGCGATACTGGTTTTCATCTATTGGTAAATTGCCAGTTTGCTAAGTCTATTTGGGTGTGGGCATTATCTCTCTTTGGGGGTAGTTGGAATCCTCCAATTAATTTGCAAAGCCTTTTTTCCCCTTCCTTCTTCAGGTGCCGATTGAAAAGGGAAAGAACCATGTGGAGATGTTTTAGGGCTGCTGCATGTTGGGCTTTGTGGGAGGAAAGAAATTCCAAGATCTTCTCTAAAGAAGAGAGGGATAGTGAAGAATTGAGAGATTTGATCCATATAAGGGCAGTACAATGGCTGAAATCTTCAGAGCTGTTTATAGACTTCATAGTGGATGATTTATTGAGGAAGTGGAGTGAGATTGCTAACTGCACCCAGCCCAAAACAATAATGAGTGTGTATTGGACCCCCACTGGCCTGTTTTTTAAAACTTAACTTTGATGGGAGTACTCGGGGGAATCCAGGACAATCGGGGATTGGAGGTGTGTTTAGGGATGAGAATGGACTGGTTTTAGCCTTGTTTTCAAGCCTAATTGGAGTGGGTGATTCTCTCAAGGCTGAGATTTTCGCAGTTCTGGGAGAAGTCCAAAGAGCTAAGGAGATGAATATTTGAAAACTCATCATTGAAGGGGACATAGAGGTGGTGGTAGGGTGGCTGAACAAAGAACATAGCAGTTTATGGATGTACAATAATGAGAGGAGGAAATTTAGATGGCTTGTTCAAGAGATGGAAATTAAGATCTGCTGGGTGAAAATGTCAGCTAACTCCTTTGTTGATGGGTTAGCTAAGCAAGGAGTTGAGAGGGAGTTAATGTTTTGGGCACAAGTGTAATTTTTTCCGTTTCTGTTCTTGGGAGCTCAAGCTCCAGCTAGAAGATGAGAAAGTTTATCTTCATCCTTGTAATATTTTTGTGATTAATTAATGAAATGTGGTTATTGATAAAAAAAAAAAGAAAATTCTCTTTTTCGGTAGTAAATAAAAAGTAAAATTTATTAAGAAGAGAGAGAGAGAGAGAGAATAAGAGAGGTGATAAGACATCACTCACCAAAAGGAAAATACAATCCCCGACATCAAATCTTACAATCAAAAAAAACCCTCATCCTCGCCTTCTGACTCTCATCCTCACCCTAGACCCCAGACTCTTCCTTTATGGAGTATGATAATTGGATAATTACCAGCAAGTAAGGCTTAATATGATAATTCTTGAATCCATTATGCCTATTTCTTACACTTAAAGGACGATGTCTGATAATTGGATAATTTCCAGTCCAGAAAGTAAGGTTTAATACTATGCCTACTTTTTATGGGTTGCTATGGGGAATTATTCAGTTTATGTTGGCGGAGAGTGTTGTTTTCCAAAGTTCATTAGAACAGCACTAAAAAGGACATGGGGCTAGAAGAGCTAGGGGTAGACCAAAAAGGACATGGGTAGAAGTAGTAAGAAATAATAGAACAGAGTGGCGAAATAGGGTTCATGTAGCCAACCCCATATAGTTGGGATAAGACATGGATGATGATGATGATGGTGATAATGGTGACGATTAGAACTGCACTAAAAAGTCGATCCTTCAAACTTCTGTGGTCAGATATGGTTAGATTTCATTGACATGAACCAGAATGTGGAAATTATTAACATGTGTGCTCTTGAACCATGAACTTCATGCTTCTAGAATCTACAGTTAACAAATGTTTCTCTACCACTTGGAATAGTGGAAATCATTTCAGATGTTGATTTGCCAATTGCAAACAATTCTGTTGCCAATAAAAAGTATTCTTTTTTTTTTTTAATTTTAGCAACTGATATCATAAATTTCACGCACCTTTATGGAATGTGTTAATTCTGGGATGGCCCTGTTTTTTCCAATGTTTGATGTTGTTGTTGATAATGTTGATGATGGCAAAGGCTTATAAACGATCACTTAATTTAATCAATGAAGTAGGTAAGCTACAAAAACTGATCCATTGTTGCTTGCCAGTGTCCTTTGATGCATAAAGTTTCAGAGATTTGTGTGCTTAATGTAAGCTCAAGATGTTTATATACTTATTATAATTGAGAGATGATGCATCCAAACAAAAAAGTCAATGGATGCACACTCTCCAAACCATTCTAGTTTAAAACAATAAAAGCATATGGCTGTATTTTGAGATTTTTATTATCGAGGCTTCCTCATGGACTGTTGTTGGATGTCTGCAGTTTTCTTGCACAGACGGGCTTGGTATCTGTAGAACAACAATTGCAAGAAATGGGCATGATGCCAAAAGATTGTGATGAACAAAGCAAAAAAGGTAATTAAAGCAGTTGCACATATGTAGCATTTGAAAGTAGAGCCAACATCAAAGTATCAGAAAAAACCTCAAAAGGCCATTTTAATGTCAACTTGAATGAAGAGCACACATTGGATTAGTGATTCATGTCAACAAGAAGAAAAAGAAGCAAACAGAACATGTTTAATAGACTGGTAGAAAGAAAGCTTGCAGAAGAGGCTCCATTTCTCAATCTTTCTTGGCTTCCTTATTTTCCAATTTCCCCTTATTCTTATTGGACTTCAGGAAGCAGAAGCACGAGCAGCATGGGAGATGAAGTAAGAACTTCATTGTGCTGTTTTTTGGTTGTGCTAGATGTTGTGAAAACAATATGTATATAATGTGGCCAGAGTTATTCTATCATTTCTTGGTTTTTCTTTTTTTTTTTTTACATCCCATTTACTTTTTCACTCATCCAATTGATTCCTTTCCAATCGCTTTTGGTAAAGAAGATGCGTAATCAAGCCAGTTTATGGATACGGGTGTTTGCTGGTTGGTTTATGATCAAAGAAAGTCTATTGGGTTTTGTATGCCTTTCTTTGTGGGTCATCTTGGCAACTTGTAAATAAAGCATCTCTTTTTGTTCCTTTTCTCAAGCAATTCTCTCTGGGTTGGCAAGCAATAAAGCACAGAATGCGATACTCCACATTTCCACTGGTCTTTTATGTTTTTAACTTGTTTACTGAGACAGTGAGATGTTCAGTCAAAACTACAGTGGAATTATTTGATTCACAGAAGCACCATGAAGACCTTGCATCATCACCTTTACTTCTACCGTGAAATCATGAACAATGACTTTCAATTTGTGGGCCAGTTCATGATAGATGAAAAATGATCCAAGATTTCCAAAACCGTGGTCAGTGGACAATAACCTTATCAAATGTAGCTAAAAGTATCATCTAGACCTCTTTTTTTTCTTCTGTTTCTAATATTTCCTTCTTTATCTGAAAAGTGCGTGTGCTTTAATACTAAGATATGATCCATCCTAACTATGGCCAGTTAATTGAATGATGGAGTGGATGATCTATTTGCCTTCTTCGTGGGTCCTGACCCAAAAAAAAAATGCTTCAATTGTTGGTGGTCTCATGCATATAAGAAAAATCTTAGCAAAGCAGTAAGTTATTCAGTTCTTCAGCCATTGGCAAATGGCTTTCAGAGGGTCTTCTAGAAGAATTATCATCATCGTCTCTGCCGATGGTCACTTGGCACCCCTCCAAATAGCGACCTGTTGAAGTGTAGGCTCTCAAATATGGCTAGTGAGCTTCACGTGCACTTTGTTATGCCCCACCCCTTACGGCCCTCACCAGACTTGGGGGTATGGGTATGGTGGACGGCCCTCATCTTGTTCAGTGCACTCATGAAATATAAGATTGGCTGCAATCTTGATTGCACTCATGTCAGCAAATAGAGGAATAGTAGATGAATGATCAATATTCATGTCATGAAGAAGTGCCTTAAGCCAGATTATTTCACTGCATATTGAAGATATGACTCTGTACTCAGCCCTAGTGGTCAACCAAGTGGATGGGGGATTCCATGTCCGAGATCCCACGATGGCACTTTACAAGGCTCGTGTCCAGAACATGGTTCCATCTTTTCAGAAAGCAGAATTCATCCACATTAAGCGGGACTTGAATTGAACTATTGATGCATTGGCCACACTTGCTGCTAAAGTCCGCCAAGGAGAAGCGGGAACGATCATTCAAATAGTAGGCTACATAGGGCTTCCATAGATGATATAGAGGACGTTGAAGGTGAAGACAACTGGCGAAGGGAATTGATTAGCCAATTTTAGGGGATAACCGATGACGGGGAACAAAAGTATTTGGTCCTGAAAGGGAAGCGGTACTATGGGGACAGGGGAGGCATTTTGCGACACTACATTGGACCCAGACGCATAGCTAGCATCCTGGGTGACACACATCATGGCATGTGTGGGGGAAATCTACCTCTTCGTGGGCGCATACAACGACTAGAGATTTATTGACCCACACTCGTGGAAGATTCCTCGGCACTACAGAGTTGTCCCAATTGTGAAGCATGTCCTAGCTTGGCAAAGATTGACGCAATGAAGAGAATGATTGGAGAACCCCATACACCATTAAGGGTGCAACTTGGGCGGGCCTAACCCAAGCCCGAACCCGCCTAGCTATACATATGTGTATAGTATACTTGGGGCGGGCCCAACTATACATGTTTATAGTTGGGTTGGGCTCGAGCCCAAGAAATTAGGCTTTTCTGATTTTCAGGCCAGGCCCCGGCCTAGCCCTTATAGCTCGAATCTGGCCCGAGCCCAATCTAACTATACACATATGTATATATATGTTAATTTTGCATGCGTGTATTATATTTGTATACATAGTTACTTATTTACATACATATAAACATAAATATATGTAAACATATTTGCATAACATATGTGTGTGTGTAATTTTAGAGTGGGTTCATTGACCACCCAAGCTCGGCTTGGGCCTGTCCCCAACCCGAGTTCATCAAATTCCAGTGCGAGTTGGGCTCAGGTTGGGAAAATTTGGGCTCAGTCTAGGCTCAATCCTTAAGCCCCAAATTTTAGGGTCGGGCCTGGGTTGACCATAAACCCATCCCAACCCGCCTGACTTGCACCCCTATACACCATATATCATCAGCAAGGCAGGCCCAACTATACATGTTTATAGTTGGGTTGGGCTCGAGCCCAAGAAATTAGGCTTTTCTAATTTTCAGGCCAGGCCCTGGCCTAGCCCTTATAGCTCGAATCTGGCCCGAGCCCAATCCAACTATACACATATGTATATATATGTTAATTTTGCATGTGTGTATATATATATTTGTACACATATTTACTTATTTACATACATATAAACATATATATATATATGTGTGTGTGTGTGTGTGTGTGTGTGTGTGTGTTTGTGTGTGTATAATTTTAGAGTGGGTTCATTGACCACCCAAGCTCGGCTTGGGCCTGTCCCCAACCCGAGTTCATCAAATTCCAGTGCGGGTTGGGCTCAGGTTGGGAAAATTTGGGCTTAGTCTAGGCTCAATCCTTAAGCCCCAAATTTTAGGGTCGGGCCCGGGTTGACCATAAACCCATCCCAACCCGCCTGACTTGCACCCCTATACACCATATATCATCAGCAAGGCAGGCCCAACTATATATGTTTATAGTTGGGTTGGGCTCGAGCCCAAGAAATTAGGCTTTTCTAATTTTCAGGTCGGGCCCCGACCTAGCCCTTATAGCTGGCCCGAGCCCAATCCAACTATACACATATGTATATATATGTTAATTTTGCATGTGTGTATATATATATTTGTACACATATTTACTTATTTACATACATATAAACATATATATATATATATATATATATATATATATATATATATATATATATATATATATCTTTGTATACATATTTACTTATTTACATACATATATACATAAATATATATAAATATCTCAGTCTAGGCTCAATCCTTAAGCCCCAAATTTTAGGGTCGGACCTGGGTTGACCATAAACCCATCCCAACCCGCCTGACTTCCACCCCTATACACCATATATCATCAGCAAGGCATGCTCCCAAATGATCTGTGGGAAGCCTGTCATCTATGAAAACATGCCCTCAAGTTCTGGGTCAAAGAAGGGAAGCTATTCAAGCAAGGCTACAATGGACAACCTCAAATCTATGTATCGGACGAAGAAGCCCAGAAAATAATAAAAGAATGCCATCAAGGGGAATGTAGAGGACACCAGGGAGCCATGACATTGCATGCGAGGATTTTGAATACAAGGTACTACTGGCCAACCCTGACCAAGGACATAACTGACTTTGTGCAAAAATGCAAAGAATGCAATTGCATGGAGAGCTCATTCACCGATCACCACACCTGCTCCTAGAAATCTCTACTCCTTGGCCCTTCCATACTTGCGGGCTAGACTTCATAGGACCAATGCACCCGAATTTTGGGTGAAAGCAATGGATTCTCACGAGTACTAAGTATTTTACAAAATGGGTAGAAGCAATAGCTTTGACAGGAGCCACGAGGGAAGCAGTGAGGAATTTCACTAAGGAAAACATCATTTGTAGATTTAGTGTCCTCGAGTGTATTGCATCTAGTAATAGGACACCGTTTGCTAATAGAATAGTTGGAGCACTCATGGTTGAGTACCATGTCATATACCTCAAGTCGACTCCTTAGTACCCGTAGGAAAACAAACAAGTAGAGGCAACCAATAAGGTGTTGCTAAGGATCCTTAGTCGAATGATGCATGAGTAGCAGGCCAAATGGGCAGAAGCTCCACCAGTCGCACTTTGGGCATACCGCACCATGCCACGCCACACCACGAAGCTTAGCCCCTACACCCTAGTTTATGAAGCCAAATTAGTCCTCCCCGTATAATTACAGATTCCCTTGGCCCGACTTACGCTCGCTAAAGGGATAAGAAGATCAAAAGAATGGGATCACAGACGCCTTGATTAATTGATGGCACTTGAAGTTCTACATTAGGAGGCTGAGAATAACTTAGAAGAGTATCAAGAAGAGATATCTTGGGGACACAACTGCAAAATATAGTTTAGAAAAATTGAGGTGGGCGAATGGGTCCTTAAACCCACTCAGCATGTAAGGGCATGAATAAAGGCCCTGAAATTTACCTCAAGTTGGGAATGACCTATTGTTATTAGAGAAGCATACTCTAGCGGATATTATAGGCTTGTCTTGCCCCTCAAGCTTGTGTTAAATGATCACATCAATGGTAAATGACTAAAAAGGTACTTTGTTTAAATAATGTATAAAATCTTCTGAAAGAGAAGGAAGACTTCCCGGGGTATAAGAGGCCATCTCCTCCAATCCTTGAATCTCACTTTGTAGACTAACCAATTTGCCCTCTTCTTCTGATAGCCTGGTCCTAAGAGAACTAGCCTCTGCCTGAAGAGCCTGGAGTTTACAGTGCCTTTCAACCAAAAGCACTACTACTTACCGAACATATTGATTCTATTGCCAATAAGAAGCCAAGTGAAGGAGAAAGTCATGAAGCCATGGAGCACATGGGTTAACTTGGGTGGTTGTCCGCGCCGTAACAAACCAGCATCGAAGGGTCTCTCGAGAAATTTTTGCGTCCGACGTGAAAGCTACCTCACTCAAAATTTGACATAAGTAAAACAAGCCCACCGACTTGTACATGTCCACGCCTTCTTGAAATAATTTGGGGAAACGATCGAAAAGGGCTCACACTATCACCTCAAAATTTTGAAGGAACAAACATCGCCTAACCACCAAGGAAGGTCCTCAGGCTAACCAGGTGCATCTAGAAAGGCCATCCGACATCCGTGATAGATTCTAATGAAGTCTCTCGATCGGATAGTGCATAACTCGGAAGGGAAGGACAAACTTGACCTGTGGTACCAAAAGCCAGCATCCCTACAGTGGCTTGGGGGCCTGACTCATGGAGAAGGCTTAGCACCTAGCATGTCTCCATTTGAGGTAGGATTATGGCACCAGTAACACTAAGCGGCCTGTGCATTAAAGGAAGATCAAGGGACTGTGGGGCGATTGCAGGCATCGCTCCCTCGACAGTTGCACCAATGGGAAAAAGGG